CGGCCGACCGGTCCCCCGCCCCTCGCCTCCGCCTCACGCGCGCGCGGCCACTCCAAGCCCGGGCGTGGCTCGTTCAGGCCTCTGGGTACCAGTTTGTTCCCGGAAACTCGAGTTGAGCGGTTTTCATCGTAGCTCTGGGAAGGAACCCCGGAGCGGCAGGGCAGGGACGCTCAAGTCGGGCTGGCGCTTCCTTCTGTGAACTTAAAACTCGGTACCAGTGCCCAGGATGTGCGTTTTATAGTTAGAGTCGCCTTTCAGGGCTCAAGTTCTGATAATGCTATGGACTTGACCCCAAACTAACTTTATCTTCCTTATACTGATTAAGAATTTAGACTCCACTGCGAAGTTGAAGACTTAAGGTTTTAAATCAGCAAATATGTGTTGGATACCAGTTTATATAAAGTACTGGTCAAGGTACCGGTCGGTATATATAAAGTAGTGGTCAAAACTTCCTATTTTAGGCGTCGTTCATCTAAATTCCTGGCCTCCCTTGTGTTCTCATTAGGAGGAGGACAGGTGAATACTGTTGAAGATTTCAGCTGTGTTCCTTTGCTCTATCACGGGTGGTGCTAAGTAAAAACAGGGCGTTGGATTAAAGTAAGTGAAGGAGGGAAAACCTGATAAAGGAACCGAAACCTTCTCATTCAAAATAGGTAGCTTACACAATGAACACTAACTTTCATTTCAAAAGTACTCATCAGTTTTTAAAATGGGACAGGCTATAGAGAAACAGAAAGAAGCTGAAAGAGTAATGTGCCAGCCCTGAAACTGCCCAGTGCTCTGATTAGTTACACATCTGTGAAAATCCTGGGCTAATTTACGAAGTACTTACTGAGTACCTACTCTATGTCAGCTGCTGAGCTTGGTAATGATGTATATTGTTATCATCCATGTTTTGCCAATCCAAAGCTGGATTTTTTCTAGTGACTGAAGACCACACTTTTGACACTTAGCATTCTCAATGAAAGTATTTTCATATACATGAAATTTATTTTCTCTTTGTAATTGGGAATTGTTAACTCATTTCTTAAGGTGTATTCTGCACTGTTAATAGGTATTTTGACCTCCTAATTGAATTTTGCAATGTTAAGTGAGGTTCAACAGGATCATTGTTTTGTTTTTTGACATCAGTGACTCTTAGATTTCAATATTGTATTGTCGGTGAATCTCCAGTTTGAATGTAGTGTGTGAGTTTTCCCAAACCCAGTTGACTTTAGAATTCTAATATCTGGAAACCCGGGAAAGTGCCCCACAGAAGACATTTTGAGAAATGTGTTTTAGCTGGAATTTTCTTTCTTGGTTTGTTTCTAATCACCATCTCATCCCTTCTGCCCGCAGAAGTGATGCCACCAAGAAAAAATGAGAAATACAAGCTTCCTGTTCCACTTCCAGAAGGCCAGGTTCTAGATGATACCGAAGGAAAACGGTGGATACTGGGCAAGATGATTGGCTCTGGAGGATTTGGTTTGATATATTTAGGTAAAGTATAACTATAAATTACCAAATATTCTCATATATGTGTCTGTGATTACTTAATTTAAAAATTAAAACTTTGAAATAAAATAGAATTCATAAATGTATGTTATTAAGTACTGTGAAGATAGTTAGGTAGAATGTCCAGGTTCAAGACATGACTGACCTCAGTCCCTGTTGTTCAGGTCTTTCTTAAGGACTCTTAGAAGTGTTCTCAGAGCATAATTAGTTTCAGCCAGGCAGAATGTTAATGTTCTTTCTTGAGAGTGTATTTTCCTGGAAACACTGCTTTTTACAGCTCAGAGGACACAATTGTATGAATATAAACACTTTCCATTTGTGAATCTTAATCATTAATGTTTAAGTAGTACAGGGTTCTGGTCATTTCTTGACTAGGCACCACTAGAGAATTTAGTCTTGAATACCTCAGTGCATTTATTGCATGGAGTGAATTCACTTCTCTCCTGTACATTTAGAGTGGTACTAGTTATGTATCATCCTTGGGATAATTAAGAAAATAGACACTCAGATTTGTTTTCTGTGTTCTTTGGTTCAGGGAAGGAACCTGACCTGAGTATACTTTCACAGTACATTTAAAAATTTAAAAATTATCCTTCATTTAAAAGGATAATTCAGAGCTACCTTAAAAAATCTGTAGTTTAATGACCAGGGCATATCCATTATAAGACTAGATTTAATAAATAAAATAAGCTAAATATTAGTGATTTTAAAAAAAGTTTCCTCCAGGTTAAGTTCCGCCAAATGTATTGGCTCATTGCATCTGTTAATGTAGCAGTTTAAGAAGTTGGTAAAAGACTTTCATTGGGGGAATCTTGATTTCCTTACTAAACATTTCAAACTGTAGGGGAGGAAAGACTTTCCTTCTACCCTCCTAAATTTCAAAGCTGAGTTTATGAAATAAACTGCCAACAAGCAGATTCACAGGAGAAAAGGTATATAAATTTATTAATTTTTTAATGTTACTTGCACAGTGATATCACAGGGAGAAAAGTGAATGCTCCAAAACATGGTGAGATTTGGGAGCTTATATACCTTCTTAGCAGGGAAAGGGGAAAGCGGATATAGGCCACTTAAGGGACAGTAAATGATTTTTAGGGAAGATGAACGGGTCTTTGGAAGGATAGATGTCGGATGATAGTTTGTGACAGAGTTTGTCTGGGAGTGGTGTCAACCTCTAACGGCTTCTTCTGAGATGACTCAGTCTTTCCTGGTTAATGAAATTCCCCTAGAGGGGATTTATAACAATTGAGGTTTTTTTTTTTTTGGTGGGGGAAGGGCAATCTGTCTTTAGGCAAACAAAGGGATTTCAGAGAAGGCCTGTCCCTGCATTTGCTATTTTTCTAGTGCCTTTAGTTCAAAATAATCCTTATGTCAAAGAGGCATATTTAGGGTGGCATGTTTTGCCACCCTTCTCAAACAAACATGGATCATGGAGGATAAAGCTCCTTTTCTGATACAATTAAGATTGTAGTTTTGAACAAATGGATGAAAGTCAGTCAATAAGTGACTTCTTTTTAATCACCTCAGTGTCTAATCTAGTTGGAAAGATAAGACCAACATAAAAAATTTAATGTGTTAAATAAAGAACAACTTCTCTATTTAAAAAGTTTGAAATGCTGTGATTCTGAGGGCTAGTTTGAATGACATAGGCAGCACTTTCAGTAGAAATGTAATGCAAGCCACATGTGTAATTTAAAATTTTCTAGGAGCTGCATTAAGATAAAAAGAAAGGTGAAATTTAAATAATATGTATTATTTAATCCAATATATCTGAAGTATTATAATTCTAACATGTTATCAATATAAAAAAGGGAATATTTCATTTTTTTAGTTTTTAAAATCTGGGTTGTATCTAGTGAGATTTCAGGGGCTCAATAGCTACACATAGGCAGTGGCTACCATATTGGATAATGCAGATAAAGACCTTGAGAGTACTTAGAATCCATAGACAGTAGAATTCTTTGTAGAATAAGTGTTGGTTGAGACTCTGAATTAGTGCTTTCTCTAATATAGCAAAGAGCTGAGATCTGTAGTATATTGTCTTGACTCAAGGTCAGGGAACTGAGGTTGAATAAATTATGTCTGATATGGCTGAGCTACAGCTTTGGATCCCACAGCTTATTAGTTATATTTTAGTTTTCTGATGTTTGAACTATTTGAGTAATGTCAAAGATTATAATGATCTTACTGCTTTTCTCTTTTCAAATGTAAATAGTATATGTGTTAATATGTATTTAAATTTAAGTGCATGTTTAAATGCATGTCTATACACATATACATATATGTATATACACATATATGTGTGCACATACCTACTACTTGTGTGGTTCCTTTTGTGAAAAAGGAATTTATTTGCTTAGGTGTGTGATTTATTTGTGCCTATTCAAATACAGAAAAATCTCCTTTCAGTCTAAGTACTACACATATTTTTTTACTTATTTCTTCTCATTACCAAAATAATATTTATTTTACAACAATTTTCAACATTTCATATATTATGCAGTCCCCCTACTATCTGAATTTTAGCAAGTGTACACCATTGAGGAAGGACTTTAAAAAAATGTTCAGCTATTTTGAGGAAAAGTCTCCATGCTTCAGAATATATGATAAAGCTGTGTGTTCTAAATGTTGTCATTGTTCCACCGAAAGTGACATTCATAAATCATAAAATCAGCTCTCTAGTGAGATGCCATCAGCAATAACTTCTTTAAACTTGGTTTTTACTTATTATTTTCAAAGCTAAGCAAATCTGTATGAAATTATATCATGTTGTTACATTTTACCATAGTTCTCATCACTTCCTGTATGTAAATGAAGTAGGTAAAGTCAAGTTTCCTTAATACCTTTATATCCAGCCCTTTTAAGCATGATTTTTTCCAGATAGGCTCACTCTTTCAGCAGACACTTGAGCATTTGCTACTTAAGGCTAGGAAGAAACCAGCCGCTGTGTGGAACTCATTGTGCGTGTACAGCTATCTTCTAGCTCTGAGACCTATGGCCAGGGCCTTTCAGTAATCAGCGAAATATAAAGGGGAAGAGGCAGAGACGTTTTGTATTTACTCTTGACCTGGAGAAATAATGTGCCTGTGGCATTAATAGGAATAGTTAGGAGAGGGAAAAGAAAAGGCTGAATACAAAATAAAGTTCTTTCTTTGATTATGAAAAGAGCGGGAAGAAAAGGATGAAAGGAAACTGGTTTAGGGAGTGGAAAAAGTTGCTGTCGTATTAGTATCAATTGAGTGAAAAACTTTCTAAAACTCCAGGAAATGAGAGAGAACTAAGAGTTTGAGTTCTGTGTGCTAGGTGTAACATAGGACCAAGCAAACTAGGGGAGAAATGCATAAATAAAAGCATGGGTTTTGGTGTTAGGCAAATCTGAGTTGAATTCTTACCTAAACCATTTACAAATGGAGTGACTTTCACCTAGTCATGAGTTGCTTCTATTGGTGTAATTGGGACAGTAATTGTGAGGATTAAATGAGATATGTTTTTAAAGAACTTGAAACTTGGTAAGCATTTCAGTGTGATTTATTTATTTAGAGCTCACCATCCTCAGTGTTAGCTGAGTTCAGTGTCTGGTGCTGCAGGGGATTAGGATGGTAACAAGGACATTTATTGGAGGGTTTTTCTGTTTGTCTTGCCGTGGACTGTGATGGATTTAGCTAATGTGGTAAAACTAAGAACAAAGAGAATGTCAGTGGAAGACTATGACATTTTACTTACCAACCTATATTTGTATTTCCCACTAAAATTTGCAATAGTGGCCATGATGACAGTGAAAACTTCTCATTTAAGCAGTATGTATCTTATCTACTACAGACATAAAAGATATCGTGTTTCAGAAATTACTCAAAAATACTCAAAATCTAGAAAAACAGAATTATAGGTAATAAACTTCAGCAAAATTCCTTTGAAGGCTTATTATATGAATACAAATATAAATGATTAATCTGTGGAAGTTTTAGTTTTTTGAAGTTGGGCATAGCTATGATCATTTATCATCTTTGAAATATCAAGCACAGACTAGATGTTCCACAGTTATTTGCCTGAGAGATTGAGGCTGAAGTTGGGATTCTTAACCCACACAAGCCAGGTTGCTTTATTCTCTTCCATAATTGTGGATGTTACCCTTAATCCCAGTTTGAAATCTTAGAGATATACTCTTAGTCACAGGAAAAACTGAGACAAATTAACTATTATGATGTCATCTAAAAGCATCCATATATGCTTTATTGACAATAAATCAATAACATTATCTTTTCTAAAGAATAATATGTTGTTTAAGTAAAATGAACTCTGGTGAAGCCTTAAAATCAATCATTTATCCATGGATAAATGTTTAGACTTCATCCAAGCTACTGCCATGCATTTTTTGGATCATGTTCTCAGATTAGCTCAGTTTTGCTCTTTAGAAACTGAAGAACTATGTGTGTGTGTGTATATGTATATATACATATATATACAGAAAAATGTATGTACTTTTTTTTTTTTGGCAAGGGCCAGAGGAAGAGGATAGAATAACTAGGAGTTTTAGAAATCATCAAAGTTTAGCTCACTTATTTCATTAATGAAGGAACAGACTTCTGTTTATGAAGAAATAGAAAAGATTATTTAAACATTTGAGATTTTTACTTATTTTACTTTCTGTTCAGCTGTACTGGATTAATACTTTAAGGTATGCAGAATAATGTTCAGAAGAGCCTAAGGATAATGCTAGCAACAAAGTGGAGTTATTTGAACATTTATTGCTTCATTACCTATTGCTGTGTTAAATGTTGTTTTGACAATGTTTTACAGAGAAGGCTTTGAGATAAGCAGTTACTCTTATCTGACAAAATACACCATTATGGTGCCACCACACTTGTTACTAGGAAAGTTTGCAGATAATACTGTAGGGGTGAAAAGAAGAAGGGAATAAATGTGAAGTAAGAATAACTTGTGCTAGAAACTGTAGCATATAGGATAAGTTAGTTCTCAGTTGAAGA